AATGAAATAGGTTCATGATGGTAAAACATTTTCATTTTCTAATTGATTCGTGATTCATGAACTAGTTTCATGGTGATCAATGTTGCATTGTAATCGAAGTTGATCAGTTTAGTTGGTAGAATGAACATGAAATGAGTGCATAATGGATTTTGTTCGTTATGAAATATACGTATCATGAAACGGGTGTATAGTTAATAAAATAGATTTATGTAAAATAGTTAATGAAATAGATTCATGTAAAATAGGTAATGAAATAGATTCATGTAAAATAGTTAATAAAATAATTAATGAAATAGATTCATAGTTAATGAAATAATGCATAATGGATTTTGTTCGTTATGAAATTAATCTGCATGTAAAAATTTCAATGTGAAAAGGTTTCATTGCAAAATAATTAATGAAATAGATTCATGATGGTGAAACATTTTCATTTTCTAATTTACTAGATATGGTTGTCTTGAATAAAAAATACTATGAATTAAATTTGTTTACCGATTCTACCCTTATTGATGAAATAAAATAAATATTAATTATTTTTTAATGTTTAATTTCCTAAAATAAAGTAATGTAATCTTAGCCATTGATCAAAAAAATGAATGAATGATATTGGTTTACACGGTTTACACAAATGGGTCAAGTTTTTATTTGAACGCTCCTATATATATATATATATACATACATATATAAAGAGTGAAAGAAATATAGACTTGGATCATGTGAAAATAAGAGTTTTGGTGAGAACTGTGAGCACCTTACTGAGTTTTTAGATGAATTGTTATTTTGATCTAATGGGTAAAACATGGGGACCTTCAACTACCTTAATTGACACCTAACAAAAAAAATAGGGATGTTTCTCTAGACTCATACACATGTATCTAGCTTCGTTAATCGTCATCTTTGCTTTTATCTTTATAACTTTCAGTCTATTTTACGGACTTTTCCATATCTTTAATCAATTTCATATATATGAACTTGTTAAAAAAAAGCATCTGGAGGTCTCAGGTTCAAATCCAAGGAGGAATAAAAATCCTCTTGTGTCCACGGAAGTTCAAATACGATGACTCCGGACTACCTGCAAAGCAGGTGGTTGTCCTGGGATTAGTCGGCTCGCATAGCGCGTTGGATATCCAGGTTAATAAAAAAAAAGTCCCTTATGATCGGTAATTGAAGGTAAATGAACGTTTTCATGTTCTAATAAAAAAATTTATTCTCACACGAACCCAATGTTTCTTAAATTGAATATCGTTTGTCGGGGTTTCTTACACATGTTCAGATAGATCCATTTCATGGTCCTATGTCTTACATATAGGAAGAGAAACGACAGACCTAGTATTTTTGTCGAACGTGTGCATCTTTAAGGTGGATCAAATGCCCTATAGTCACGATTTAATCCCGTGGAAAAGTCAAAGTAGTTTAACCCGGAGAAGACTCCATCCTGTTGATTTGGGGAATAAAATGTGTTCTTCTAAATGTAATCAACCTCTTGAGAAAGACGTAAAATTACGTCTTAGACATAATCCCGATGTGTTTTTAGCCAAATTCAATTGTTTTGCCTAATCACATGTAATATTCCAATAAAATGAAGAAAATGAAGGATTAGACAGTTTTTTTACTCCATTAAATTATTCAAAACTTTCTCCAAAATAGAAGAGAACGATGCAAAATTCTCCAAAATTGGAATCTCTTCAAAAATGATTATCATACAAGAAATAATTTTTTATTACATTCTACCACTAATAAACCTTAAAAAAGAAAATAATATTTTATAAAATGTATATTTATGTTTTAATAATATAATTAATGTTATTTAAAAGAAAATAATAAATTTAAATTAGAAGAATACTGGTGCAATATAGCGAGTCACATCTTGATTTTAATGTTCAATTTTATTATTTGTATTTGTCGATGTTATAATACGATTTTATGTGTTTTTAATAAAGTAATAATGATTTTATTTTTGAATAAAATATAAATTTGAAGATATCATAAAAATTTGAAAAAAAATATATATCAATGTTAATATCAAATCAACTATTTAAAAGTTCTCATTTTTTATGTAATTTTTTTAATTTATTTTTTTATTATAATTTAATTTAAGTTTAATAATGAAATAATTTATTTTTAGTTTAATAATATAACATTTTATAAAGATAATAATTAAATATTCTATTAAAACTTAATGATTATCCTAATTATATTTTATATTTTTATATTTAAAATGAGATATTTATGTATTTGATTATGTTTATTTGTAGTTAGTTACATAAATTTAAATATAAAGTTTTAATAAGTTATACTTACTTACAATCTACATGCAATTTTGAAAATTTAAATAATATATATTAATAAACAATACTTTATATATAAAAAATAGTTTTTAAAATTTTTTATCAAATATTTTATAATATAATATAAATGTATTGTTACATATGGATTAAAAGAAGATGGAGTTGGGGTATGGGCGTGGGACAGATGTGGCAGTGGATGGGGGGCACATGATTAAAAGTATTTAGGGGCTGAATAAATTAATATTTTTATGGATAAGGATTCCGCTCTTGCCCATTTTCCAATCCACCTCCCATCTTTTTAACACTTTTCCTTTTCTTATTTCAATCAATCAAATAAATCAAATAATATAATATAATATAATATATATAATCGTGGATGTTTGGATTAATGTATTAAGACAAACCTAATTATATCATAAGGGATAAAAAATTAGGGTTATTAAAAGTGTTATCGTATTATAATGTTAAGTGTCATTGTATATCTTTTGAAACTATAATGATAATACAAGTTTATCTTAGTAGAGTTGGTTTGAACGGCTTTTCTCCCGTCTCAAGAGCGAGGTAGAAACTCATTTCAATCATTTTCTTAGTTTTCAACTGTTAATTTCAGATATATTATGTTTCTGAAAAAAAAATGCGATAAAAAACTCATATACAATGCCTCATATATGAAAAGTAACTAACCAACAAATCACTGATGATTTTTTGAAAAATATCTACAGTTTCGTATCTTATAATTAAATGACACCACCACTCATAAAAATTATTAGGTTGTAGCGTTAACTTGCACATACCTTGACTTGTCTCAGGTCTTTGGAGTACAGTCAGAAAAATAGTCAGTAACTTCATAAAACTCAAGTCGATGATTTCTGAGAAAGCTCTTTAAAAATCCAATTATTATAAATATTAGTTGAAATAACCCATTTTGATTAAGATATTTGTATGTTTATGAGTGAAAAATATAAAATTAATATATTAAATCCTTAAATTCTAAAAATATGTTTTAGAAAATAAAACTTAAATAATAGTAAATTCCTTTATATAATTATAAGTTAGAAAAAGAATAACAATAACTTAAAAAATAAAAGGATGCATATATATTGAAAAAACCAGGAACGTTTCTTTAATACAGGGAATGATTATGGTCCAAGACAATTAATAAACAAGATTCGATTCATGCATAAAATTTTAAGGCGGTAGACACATGATTTTTGTCCATCAAATGTTCAGCCGAATTCTATCGTTACGATGATTTTTTTATTATTTTTTGATTGATTTCGAAAGATTTTTAAGTTTTTTTAACTGCTATTTCTTGTATTTTTTTGGTTGATTGATCGAGTGCATGCGACTTCACTTGAGGCTTTATTGGACTGCCAAGCCTATATATCAAGCATTTAAAACGTGTTTTAAAAGAAGTAAAAAGTAAGCATAAATTGTCGAAAACTGTTTATTTATAATAAGACGAATGTAGAAACTATTCTGGACCTACAAAGCCGAACAGCTAAAGTAGACGACACCAGGACGAACTATATGTACTCAATTCGATTTCCGAACGTAGATCTTTCTAAAATCAATTGTTGATTCCAGTTTTTCTAAAAACCATAATCGGAATCGGGAGGTTATCTATCAAATGGTTGTCGAGTAAGTGTTTGCTGAACGTAAGTTACCTCAACGAGTGGGAATAGCAAAGACGGAGAAACTTACTCGGTAAGAGGTATATGACATGTAATTTTGGTGAGTGAAAAAGCTCTTATCAAATAAGCGCTTACATTCTGTTCTAAACTAAGCCGATCCTGGATCTAATTCGGACCAGCAAAATCGATCGGTGCTTAATTCCGGTTAACTTGGGTTTAAGATCCAATCAATGTACAGGGCCACTGAAGATTTTCTTGTCTGTTATCTTCAGGGTCCCATAAAATTAGTAAAGATTCACATAAATGGCACAAACACCTACGAGTAGTTGCATAAAAGTCTTGATCATAAGATTAAATAGACCAAGACCACCACAAAGTTTTGGACAAAAAAAACAAATTTTTTTGTTTAGAAGTGCTCTCATCATGATTACCCGCCAAGAAACAATGATTCTCGCAATCGTATGTTATGTGCATACATGTGCAAGAATGAATGTTTAAGGTGCAAATAAACAGTAGTCGAGTTCGATTCGACAAACCCGCTCCTTTGCCTTGTTCCTGGTTTAGAATATACATAGCGACATTTCGACCAGGCCCCAGGGACTGGACCGAACCAGCTATAGACCGGTCCGTGACGTCATTAGTTCAAATTCAGACAAGATTTTTTTGAGTCAGACACTACAAAACCTATCTTTCTTGGGACCAGATAAAGCTCGACCTGGTCTGTGTGCAACTCTAGATATGATTGTCAGGTTATAACATCCAGTTTGATCAACATAATATAGAGGTCTTGAGACCGAATCCTACCCATGGGGACTTGTTGAATAACTTACTAAACATGCATCCACCAAACAGAGGATGTTTAATTTGTTTCAACTTTCATGGTAGGCACACACACACACATACATGCACAAATGAACAAATGCTTGTATACAGACTACCTGTAGGATAATAAACTAACTCGTAAACTAGTCATGTTTGGTAAAAACCAGCTAATAAGCTAAATGACAATGTAAAATAACCTAAAAGGCATGCCAGAAAAAACAATATGAAATTGTAAAACTAGCTTATGGTTCCCAAACATAATATATGTCATATTTCAGCAACAATTACTTGAATCATATAAGCGAGTAAAAAAGGTGATATGTAGCACACACATAGGGTTCTCGTTATTGAAAATATTGTATAAAAGCCCATGTTCACCATCTTTTTTTCACTTTATTTCAAATATGTATTTTGAATCTACTGTGAACTAATTGAAGGTAAAAAGATTGCATAAAACTAGACTTTTTTAACAAAGAAATTTAAAATTAGTAAAAAGGCAGGAGTTTTGAGGGGAGGGGAGATGTTATCTGTACTAAAGAAAGTATTGTAGCACTAGAGATAGGAGGATGATACCAATGACCAGAAGAACAGAAAGTGCAGTTAAAAAGTAGCACCTTCTAAAACCTTCAAGTCATTCAGACCTCATCGCGTCTTGTCCTCCATATCGGTTTTGTTCTGATGCTATCGACATACTGCTTTATACATGCTTCATTCGTCTCGAACAGAAATGGCATTCCTCTTATCTGCAAAATTCTCCAAATTCAGTAGATGCAAACAAAGTTTTTCTAGAAGCAAACGCATTGACCTGAAAAGTGGTTGGGCAACCACTATTGTATTCAGTGAAGTTACAGCATTTGATCATGGTGTATGCCTTTTTAACACGATTTTGATTTCTGTATAATGGATATATTTGTTTGGAAGCGTTATAAGTTTAGAACATAAGATTGTTTAAAGTCTAGGTCCCTACACCTCGTTTACTACCCTAATCCTTTGTCTCCAAAAACTCCTATCAGAGGTCATGTCCTCAGAATGTCACCAATACTCATCAGCTATGGGTTGCTTAAAAACAAAGAACTTGAATGAGAGATATTTGGTGATTAAGTCATCATTCAACAACTTCCTTCTAATGCCAGGTTATTTAAGGACTTATTTAACAGTTGTCTAAGGGGCCGTTTATCAAACACTTACCCGAGTAAGAGCTTATCAAGTCACATTACCTTACCGGATGAATATGGTAAGGACCAAGAATCTTACCCGGTAAGAGCGAGACAAGGACCAAGAGTCTTACCCGGTAAGTGAGGCGACGACTCTTACCACGGTAAGCGATTACCATGTAAATTGTTGCATACGATGTCGTTTTGATGGACTAAAATCTTATCCCATAAGTAAATAATAGTGTTAAATTTTACCGGTAAGTACTTACCAGGTAAGTGTTTGGTAAACGGCCCCTAAGATTATAACCACATTATCCCATCCTAGGAACAAGTAATTACAGGAAAAACAAAATCATTAGTTGATATCAAAAGCAAGTGTTATAACATACCTCAATTAAACAACTTGAGGTCAGGCTAGCACTCTGGTTGGTTGCTAGTTCAACACTATTTACGAATACTGAATATTTGCCAAGGTTCTTCAAATAGAAGGAACCCTCTTGATCCATGTGTATAATTGCCTGAAATGTTTTTGAATCGTAAAGGACTTCAATAGATTCAGAAATATGTACTCCCTAGTTTGTTAGATTAGAATAGCCGCTATTCAACATCTTCGGAATTTGGAGGAATCAAAGCTCAACAAAACTTAAAACTTTATGAAAACAAAAAGGGAAAGAAAGAATTTAAAGAAAAATAGTGCGCCAATCTTCCAGACCCAACCATAATCAGAGCTTAAAGATTAACCCTTTGTACCATACTAAAGCTGTAAATATGAGCTGATACTCAAGTCTCCGATGATGAATCTACATTTAAATCTACAAGTGAAGCAATTGGAGATGATCGGAGATATCACTTAAAACAATCCTAAGTTTAGCACTCCATGTTCTTTACAACCTAAAACTTAAGAGCATTGGGAATGCTTAATTGTGTGATGAAGACATAACCTCCATACCACTACTCAATCAAATCACAATTTTCCTGTCCCTCATTTGATCTTATTTAGCATAATTGATTTATCCATTTGCTCTTAATGTACAACTTATTTCATAATCTATTGCTTAAGTTCCAGATATAACACACCTGTCGTCGAGATACTCTACTGTTATGGCCATCTCTTCCCAAATCAATGTCAACGTGAACATCCTCCGTTGCTCTTCCAACTAAAACCTAAATCACAACATGGATTTATAGAACAATGAGACTGAGAAGTAAAAGAGAATGCATTCACATAATACATATTTCCAGATCAAGAACTATTTAAGACCATTACGAAACTACTTATTGCATCCATTCAGCACCATATAACCACCATAACATTTATGTAAATAAGATTTAGCCACATATTCTGATGAACAACCAAATATACAGAGTTCAATTAGCACAAAACCACGTAATGGTCCACTTATTAAGCATATTTACTTATTTGTAAAATAATTTTATGGGCTAGTAGAGTTTGTAAATTTTCAGATTGATGCAAGCATGATCAATTTAGCAACCACTAAAACAACAGGAGTGAGGTATTCAGGCCTCTCCAGCACCATACGGATGTGCATAGCTAATATACCATAGGTAGTGTTCAGACCCTCTCATAGTGCATGGAAGCAGCAGTTCCTGCCTCTAGCAGATTTTTTGGAAGTGTCCAATTCTACTTCCTTCAATTGTCTGTTTCCTATACGTTGAATTTTTGTGTAAATATCTCTTGTATTTAGGCTGATTTATTTGTTTGTCTTTCTTGTAATCTGATTCCCTTATTTCTCTTATGGTATATATGTACATATAGGAAACCATCCCACCAATTTTGTGAGCTAAATTTCTCTACAGTGCTCTTCTTTCTCCATTTTATTTTTTCAACTCTTTACAAAACAACTCAGGTACTCAACTTAGGAAGACTATATAAACTTGTTGAATTTAGACTAATGCAAACATCTATGCACCTAATAAATAAGTAACTTGGGTGACACGTGTCATCTTCTGGTGAGTCGGTTATCTTATTTTCCCGCCTAAACATGTATCCAGACACAATTTACATTAATGGTTCAATTAGACTCATTTTAATGTATCTAGACACAATTTACATTAACAGTTCAATTATATTCATTTGATTGACATGTGTCCTCTTATTCAATCAATCCTACTAATTTAGGATGCAATTAATTTTATTCTTTGGTTAACTAATTCGTGTGGTAACCGATTCCCGAAAAAAATGATGTTTACTTCTAAGTTTAAATTCAATTTACTAATATAGTTTCATTTCTAAATCCAACTTTATTTTAGGGTTAACTTCATTTTATTCTAAATTCAATTTACTGAAAAGTTTTACTTTAGAGTTATTTTAAGAGAACAAGTATGAAGTCATTCTTTAGAGTTAGCTCACCCGAACTCTAGAGTCTGAACTCTAAAATCTTCTTTTTCAGACTTAGAAGTCTGAACTCTGAAGTCTTTTTTTTAGACTTAGAAAAAGAAGTCCGAAGTCTTCTTTTTCAGACTTAGAAGTAAAGGGGAGAAGATAATTTAGTTGAAGACATCCTAATTAGAAATGAGCATTTAATGTTTCCTGAACATAAGAAAATATAAATATGAAGAAAAAAAATACAATTTGGAGGACATACTTAACCATGCACACATCCACACACCTAGGTAGGCGATAAGAGAAGCATACAAAAGTTCGTCAACAAGAAGGTGAGATTACCAAACCAAATGAACCCGGTATATCCCACCCGGAGACTAGGGTCTAGGAGGGTAAGATGTAAGCCTCAACCACTAGGGTTGAGAGGTTGTTTCCATGAAGAACCCCAAGCTGTGCACAATGCAAAGGTGTGTAAAAGCATGCAAAAAGATAGGCAAATAAAACAAGTGATTGGGATTTAATGGTGTGTGCATGCTACAAAGATGTGCAAGCAGATAATGTAATCAGGAGGTAAAACACATAAAACAAATAGAAACTAACGCACGGGGTCAATTCGTCTTATCTATACCCTCCTCTCAAAAACCTTCACGGCACCCTCTATCTGATCCCACTAAAAATCTACCACTCTAATCTTACTTCTCTAAGAGCTCCTATCAGAAATCATGTCTTTGGATATGCCTAAAGTTGCCAAATCCATCCTCAGTTGGTCATCCCATGTTCTCCTAGGCCTACCCCTTCTCCTCACCCCCTCCAACATCACATGTTCCACTCTCCACACAATCATTGATAGTTATCTCCTAAGAACATTCCCAAACCACCTTAATCTACTCTCTCAATTTATTTGTGATAGACGCAACCCCTAGTTCCAATGAAAACTTTGTTAGGAATCCTATCTAGCATGGTCCGACCACATGTCCATTTCAATAACCTCATCCACGCAACTTTTAATTTCTTTACTTGTGCCTTCTTTCCAGCCCAACACTCAAAAAACGATACAACATAGTTGGTCTTATAGCTACCTTGTAGAATTTTCCCTTCAGTATTATAGGAACCCTCTTATCACACAACACTCTTGTATCCGCTCTCCACTTTAACCATCCTCATTTTTATGCGATCCAGTGCTTAACGCCGTCTGCAATCGAAGTTGAGATTATGAACATTAATTGTAATTTCTTTCTTTGGCTACCCTGTATTCATGCTTGGTTTCTCAAGTCTTTTTGCGATCATGAAGTTGGAAACAAAAGATTCTCCAAAATGGAGGAACTAGATATTTTGGGGATTTTGGGCTAATTTTTTGCTCCAACAAATCCTCCAAAATGGAGAAAGCGAGAGAGAGATGGTAAAATTCTCCAAATTTGGGAGACTCCCTAAAAATGATTGCTTAGAAAGGAGATGATTTTTTTATTATTTTCACCAAATAAGAATCCTTGAAATTAATTGTTCAGGAGAGATAATATTTTATTGAATGTATTCAATACTTTAAAAATATAATTATGTTGTAATCTCCAAAATGGAGAAGCTGGTGGAGTTGAATGTAATTCTTTTTGGAGATTGAGATTTTTCATTCTCCATTTCGGAGAATCTGTTGGAGATGCTCTCAGTCCTCAATGTTTGGCAACTATCTCGAACTCTGATCAAAAGGTTCATCAAATTTATTCAAAGCTATACACGGCAATAGCACGTATTAGCACAAAAATACAACCACTCCAAGAACCGCCAGGTTGTCGAGGACACGTCTAAAGAGGAGGCCCAGAATGAGAGTGGCGCCTAGTTGTTGAGAGCGTTTGTTGTCTTTGTAAGTATCAATTGATTTTTACATACATGATTGATAATAGTTAGTAATGAATTTGATGCTTATAAATTTATCCAAAAGTTTCTCATATGAGCAAGCACCTTCACAAGATCAATAATTATGTGATGTTGATTGTTGAATCTAATATTGAACTTGTGGGTGGCACAAATCTAATAGGCGCTGCCCAAGTATGTGAAGAGTTTATGGTAAATTGATTAATGATCATTGTTCAAGGAAACATTGGAACTCTACCTCAATGCTAGACAAGAATATAGACAAGATACATATAATCCATCAACATATTTGTAACAAATTATATCTAATATATGTATGATGCATGCATGTGAATGTAACGAATGGATCGCATGTGAACATAGGAACAAAACCACTTTCGAGTAATAGTTCATCCTCACATGGTTGATAATAGTTAGTAATGAGTGGATCTTTGGTGCTTATATATTGATCCAAAAGTTTATCTAATGAGCAAGCACCTTCACAAAATGAATAACTATGTGATGTTGATTGTCGAATCTAATTTAGGACTTGTGGGTGGCATGTATCTAATAAGCAGTGCCCAAGTACGTGAGGATTTTATGGAAAACTGATTGATGATCATAGTCCAAAGGAAACATTGGAACTCCACCCCAATGCTAGATAATAATATGTACAAGATAAGTATAATCCATCAGCACATTTGTAACATATTATACCTATGTATGTATGTATGTATATATGTATGCATGCATGTGAATGTATTCATGTATGTATGCATGCATGCATCTATATAACTCCTATCTAGTCAAAATCAACTACATTCAATGTATTCAAAATACTACATGTGGTAATATTATAGCTTGTTACATGTTTTGCTTTACCGGCTGTACATCAATCATGACAGAGATAAGATTTAGTTATGAAATTATCATTTAGTCATTTACTCATTTCGGATTACTATTAGTTGTCGTAAAAATACCTCTGGTTTCTTAACATAGTATGTCATATGCCACCCTTGTAAAATAGCAAAAGCTCCCCGTGATGTCATATCTCTTTTCAATAAAGCTTCAGCAGCTTGTTCCCACCTAATGATCATCTTGTGAGTGTCTGCATTCTCATATTTTAAGGCTGCAAAATAAAAATTAAGCCAAGATTACTTGATAGTTTTGAACACTCCATACAAAACGTAGAATAGACAAGTTGCAAAGCTTGGCAGTCGGGTTTCGTACCCAATAGCTATAGCTGTAAGATGAGTTAGAAGTAACCTAAATAAATTAGAACATTTATGTTCAAAGAATGTCGCGAATAGAAATGCTATACAGATAATGGGTTGTTTGTATGTGCGCTTTGGAACTGTATCTAGTTATTGTGACTTCAAATTGCATTAATCAGTGTTTAACGTCTAGATGAACAGATTCTGATATTATCTAATTATTCAGGGGTCAAATGCTCAGTTTCATACTAGCTGCAACAAAACTGCCTTATCATTTATCAAAGGGTAAAACAAAATTGCATGTCTTTTTGAGGGACTTTTACTCTCATTTCACAAGACATCTCTCCTTTTTCACAAGAATGTCTCTTTTGGTCATTTTATTTATTAGTTCCTTAATAATCATAATTTTCCAAACACTCAATTGATTATATGATTATTACAACTTCAAGCACCGTCTCCTACAACCCATTTTATTACAACTAATTATTTGTTTTTAATTACTCAGTATCACATAATTGATTTCAAAAAACCCATCACGACACCCCCAAAATGAACTCCAATTGTTCAGACAATAGCATAGAACGTCACATATTATAAGCCTACAAACAAAGTCATGCAAGCCACTAGGCGAATAACTATTGACATCTTTAAAGACCATTGCTTGAATAGTTGATCCGATTTTCCCAAAAACACATCATCCTGGAACATCAGAGCATAAGCGAATCCATATATCTAAATATCAAATAAAAATTATGCTACTTGAGTTTGCATTTACTTATTTCTCCCAAGCCTGGAGTATATTAGGTATACAACTAAATGCTCTCATTGCAAGTAACTCTTGCATCTTTCATGCACAGCACAGAACAGTCAAATAAGTGGAACAGTTAATTGACCTTCATCTAACTATATGCCTACATGTTTATTTAACATAGACTTCACTCTTCCACATGGTCCATTGTGCAAAACAAGACAACTCTAGTTGACTACCAAATTTGGTTACATAAGGAAGCAAAATTGGCTACAACCTCGCATAAGCATATGACGACAACCAAGTCACCATGTCATGTAACTAAGGAAGGATTGGCACCTTCGTTAAGTAGACATACAACAGGTCATTCTACCTAGTGTTCTCACCAGTTTCCATGGATTAGATAATAGATATAACTGAACCGGATACATGCGCAATGATATGGAAGTCTCAACAACCTTACCTAGATATTTACGAAATAATGTGGTCAAATCCTTATGGTTCAATTTGAGACATGAATGTGGCAATATAAACTGGAGAGGATCAAAGACGTAGCTGTATCATAGGTATTGTACAGTACATCATTATTAATTGGAGTTTGACCTGGTGTAGACCAGGTCCTGGCTGACCCAATTGCAGAAATAGGTACCTTGCAGCATTTTATCGCTAGGTCATATTGAATTGGTTGATCTTGAAGAAGAAGTGGGGAGCACATGAGATGAATTTATTGGAAGATGGTGAAGAAGAGAATGATGATCTTGATGACAATAGAAGAAACTCTCCTGTTAGTCTCAGCTCTTGTGCTTTTCAGTTTTGGTCTCTTTCGATAGAAGTATAGTAAATGCTCAAAAAATACAAGTATGCTTATACACGTAGATGCTTTACCTTTTCTCTTTTGCTGTGTGGTTACAGGCCTGATATATAATGAGTTATGACTCTCCTTGCTTTGATAAGTGGTAACAATGTACCTAGCAACTGTTTAATTAGTTACCATCTATTATCGATTCGAATGCGGCTTGGTAAGCGACAACAATGTAACTAAGAACTCTTTACTTGGTTACTATCTATTATCAATGCACATGCAATGAAGCGACTTTGTCTATTAGTAACACAAGTTATATTAATGTAGTAAATTTATTTATCAAAAGGATTGTGAGATATGGACCCACGTTTCCTGCCTGTAGCTCCTGGCAACAAAGATGCATGAACCATTTCCGGAATATGTGTCCGGATAGTCCAAAGTCTCGATAATTAGCTCTCGGTCTTCTGGTCGCAAAACAACGTCGATGCTAGTTAGTGGCATCCTACCACTTCACCACATGACCCTATTATGTGATTGATAATTATAGAATCATGCATTTATTATATGATACATGCACCCTACAACTGTTTAGGTACATTTACATTCGTTTTGAGATCTTCAATTGAATCTTATAATTAAAGAAGATCCATGATTAGCTACAATGAGATTCTGACACCCGTGTATAAATCATGATTTGACATCTACATTAGCAATGATAGATATAAACAATAAGGAAGTCTCAGATATGATTCCTACTTGGATCCCACGTCTATTTGTTAAAAAATAAGATGAATTGGTGCACCAAGCATGATGTCTCTTTCCAAGCTTGGTTTGCAAGCAATAATGGGTGGGTTAGGTTGGATTGTTCTTCCCATACCAAGGCACCAGTAACGGTTAAATTGCCAGAGTTGGACCGTGTGTTTCTTAGCCATATAAAATATCAATTCCTCTTCCATTCGATTATTTGATGTATGATTAAAGCATCCATCATTCAAATGAGTAACATAAAGAAACGATATAAGATAAATGGCATAAAAAATCATCTTTAATAGTCAAGCTTGCATGTTGTATGGAAATATATTTATAGAGAAAGTGTGTGCTAAATCATCTAGTAGTTTTAGTTGGTAAAGTAAGATGGATATTTTAAGATCACAGCAACAAGTCAACAACAACAAAAGAACCTGTGTAATGTTCCTCTCCATACTGCCATTAAAAACCTAAATAACTCTAGAAAATTAAATCACAATTAACATACACAATCATACATATCGAAAACATTATCCTGTAAGTCTATTATTATCATATTGCATATCTAGAGAAACGTACGCAAATAAATAAAGTAACATACTTTGTAGATGGCAAGAACTCTCAATTCCATTCACATATAAATTCTGTTCACTTGGGCTCAAATCCTCATCAAGTATCTGCAAAATTACAAAATAGAAAGAAAAAAAAGTTTTAATAACTGAATCGAAGATGAAAGTTTTCAAGAACCAAGATAGCTGTCTCAGTCCCTGCTGTATTGTCCCAAAGGAAAAGGGATGGGATTTCCCCAAGATAGCTGACTCAACTCAGTTTTTCCTCAAAGTTTGATTATTGTCAATAGCTTTTGTAATGCAAATAACATCATGCTACTTCAATTTTTATAATAGAAGTCATTGTATCTGATATGTACAACGTTTGTATACCTTTGGAACTGGGTAGTTTGCTAGGACAAAAGAGTCTAACAAACAAAAAGTTACTATGATTAAGAAAATGTTTTTACCTTATCTTTATTGTATAATGTTACAAAACTGAAAACTGAGTAGTTTGCTAATAGCATAAAACCCAATGAACGACAATTACCATTGCTTCGACATCAGAAAAGTTAGGTATATCATCATCGCTTAGAGATGGAAGTGCTTCATCTGTTGGTGAAGGTCTTACAACCAGAATTGGATTAGTATGTTCTGTGGAGGCAATTTCGGCATGTAATATTTCTTCTTTTTGTACGGTAGCATTAGCATGCATGTCATGGTTACCAACAACAGCATTCAACTTAGGAGAGTTTGCAAAGATATCAGAGCCATCCGTTTTATTCTCCAAAAGAGTGCTAACAGGATTGCAATGATGCATTTCCTGCTCAGATTTTGTAGCAGATGCCTTCTCAGATGCAGGAAAAAGATCACTTCTACAGATGATTGCTGGACGAACTTGGCTTCGATCTTCACAGGGCAAACTTGGCTTGCCATGTAACACATGCTGACCATCACTGCTAGACAAATCCTGCTTAAGCCTATTATCTCCTAGTATTTCTGATCGCAACTGTGATCCAATGATTGGTGAAGGAAATTGGGATTGTTCATATCTATTTTCTTTAGGGATTATCTGCTTAGGAACTCTAAAGTCCCTTTTCCAACCAACTGCAGAATCCTTAATAGACTTGGAAGTTGAGTGAGGTGGAGGCTGGAAAATATCCATTTGCATTACGTAAGGGGATGTAAATGGAACCAGAGGCAGGAGAAAAACATCATCATTGCTAGGTATTTCTGGGTCCTCAGTGTTTAAAGTGCAGATGATCACCGAGTTTTGTGATTTAGAATTCATACCAGATGCAGATGGCAACAATAAACACTCCAAGCTTTTAGCTTCCTGATGGCCACCTTGAGGCTGATTCTTGTTACCGAATTGTCCAAAACAAGCAGCATAATGATTATCGATGAATTCATCTACAACTGGCATTGTGGAAACAATGATATCACGTCTAGCATCCGCTTTAGGAGAATCCAACAAAAGTGAGCTCAAACCATCAATGTAAGACTTGTCGATTACATTCCCATCAGCATCCATAAGAGGAAGGTCATCATCCTCCATAGCAAGGTCAAAAAGAGTATTTGATATTTCCATTAAATAGCTGCTGGCACTAGTAACTGCAGTTGTAGTCTCACCACACATTTGCTTTTCCAGCTTAGCAACACCTGAATAGACATCACCAGGAAAATCTGATGTTCTGGCCACAGATCGTTGGTCCTCTTTAACATGGATACTGGGAGAAGTAGAGGAACAAGGGTCTTCTGTGTTCCAAACTGCCATCTTCTGAAGCATAGATGAAGGCCCAGGGTTTTGGATTGCTGCCTGACAATCTGGATTTGGTGAATGTAGGTTTCCTTCTCCTCGAATTACAGGATATTCATTCAGCTTGTCAATATGAGGTTGATCAATCATACCAGGCAACTCTGTTCCTTCGTCTTCAAGTAGGTCGTAGATCTCTTTAAACTCGTCAGATTCCTCAATCGAAGCATCGTTCTCAAGTAGAGATATATTATCTTGGTTAGTGTGAGCTACCAACGTCCCTCTATCATGCAGTTCAATATAACTGTTGTCTCCAATGCAATTTTGATGCTCACAATGAAGTGTATGATGATTAACATCAAGACTAAAGTCAGCATGACCAGCAGCTTCATAGGTAGAAAATCCAGCAGCCTGGTTGTCTTGAACTATCTCACCAACAACAAAGTCTGCAGCTGGAGGGTGCTCTTCATTTCCATTCCCATTGCTATTTACAGTTGTATTTGGGAAACTGACATCCAGTGAATTCGATGGATGATCCCGCATCCTCTTTCGCATGGCATAGAAAAGTTGTCGTACACTCTCAGCCTTCCTCTTACCAGATACTGAAATATCCTCCTCGATGTTGTCCAGCTGAGCAGACTTTGAAATTCGAGCTGAAGCAGACTGCTCAAACTCCAGTATGCGAGCAGATGCCTCGGCAGCAACAACAGGATCATAGAGTATAGCATGCCAACGGTCTTGCAGCTCCTGAATGGTGAACCTTTTGGAGAACTGCACAACTCCTCTGGCTAGGGATTCCATGGAGACACCAGCCTACAACAATAAACAGAAATACCTAGTTTAATGTATCACCAAATAATACTAACTAAAGGAGGAACATGGTTCTTCAACTTCCATTAACTTCTATATAATCTAGGCAAGGCTCTGAATATAAGGAAAGCGGTTTTCATTAATATTTTATATTTTGAAGAACATCCCTCCAACGAACATGCACCTGCATGATACAATTTCTTCTTCTTGTGAAATAATCTCTTTGGTCCTGGTCTTTGTGTTCTGATGAAAGACATAATTACTAGGAGTATTGCTCTTGATGAGAATCTATTTAAGATATTTCTTCCCACAAGGTGCTTCTGATATAATGTCAATTTCAGAAGAACGAACAAAACTCAAAGCTGGTTTTAGAAAACACCTATTTGGAAAGTACAAGTCTTTCAAGACAAACAGTAACCCTGTATGCATTTTTGGCGCCAGCGTTAGATCAATGATCATGTCCTTATCACTGTTGATCTTTACGGCATTGACATGAGCCAGTAATTTATTCTTCATAAGATTCATCAACTTTATTTATGTTGATAATAATACAGACCAAAAAAGACCTGTACCATTTATCTTGACAAGTGAAGAATGTAGGTCAAAATTTCCTATCTGGCTACCTATCTAAATTGAAGTTAAAATAATTGATCCACACCAAACAATTCCAATTGAAAATGTCTATGATCAATTTCAACCTAAACAATACAACAGAAACAAATTGAAAGTGATGTTTAAACACTTCATGCAACACATGCACAGAAACATGATTTTAATTCCAAACTATACAGAATTATTGATAATTCACAATTAGAACAACGAAACACGAGACTGATAAAGAAACAAAGAACAATCCAACGAACAAACTTTGTCGACAACGCGTTAATCTTACACCAGCAATATCAATTCACAGAGAATCAAACAATATCAATTCTAAAATCAAATATATAGACGATCAAGGTTTAACACGATAAGGTCCAAATTGAGCGAAATTATTCAAATAGACACAAGAACAGAAATTGTAAATGTAGCTTAAAAAAGCTTACTTCGGCAGCTTTTTTCAACTTGAACTCGTCTTCCCTGGTCCAAGAGAAGTCAGCGGCGAGAGCCCCCATGGATGGCAAAAGTTGTAACGGCGGCGGCGGTGGTGCGGCTGCCGGTTCTGTGTGTGTTCGGTGAAAGAGTAGGAGTGCAGACGGATTTAAAAAAGAAGTGGGGCAGCCATTGCCCAAAAAAACCTAAAGTTTATGAAAAAATACGACTCAACTTCAAGTGTCGACTTGACTGCACATTGCGGTCTGGTGTGGGGCGACCAAAAGAGTTTATATGCAATTGCAAACCTTATAAATATGTATTTTGTTATAAATTTTTTATATTTATTTTTAGTTGTCTATTTATATACTGTATTATAAAGCATTTGACAAAAACTCTTAAAAATCATTTTTTATGCGTAAAGTACTGTTTATTAATGCATATTACTTAAAACTCAAGATTACAAGTAGATTGTGCGTAAGCACAACTTATTAAAGCTTCATATCTGAATTCGTGTAACTAACTGCAGATAAACATAATCAAATACAGGATAAACATTTCATTTTAAATATAAAAAATCTAAAATATAATCATGATTAGAGATGGCCAAAAATCGGTCCCGGGCCGGTCCCAATCGGTCCTCATCATTCTCATAACCGGCCATAACCGGTCCCGGCGTAACCGGTCCCGGTCGAAAATGATAGGACCGGTATA